ACTACTGTTTCATGAGAAACTATTTGTTCTGTAAGCCTTCACCTGAAGTACAATAATAAAAAAAAAATAGTAGCTTGGTTTACAGTAAAAAATATGTATTTGAATTATTGAAAAAAAATTTCTCCTTTCAAATTTCCAATTGTAACTAAGAAACATATATTTCCCAACTAATAATAACAGCAACAGCAAAACAAGCTTGGATAAAACATTAATCTATACATGTAAAATTGGGACTGTCATGATTTGAGATACTTCAGTGTCTATTAAATAAGATTTATCGTCAATAGATTTCATAAGATTTAACACCATAGCAGTCTGTGAAGCTTATCATCCATCTAGTAAAATGTTGGTAGTATAATACAATGTAATTGGGACTCCACTATGAAGGAATTTGTGATGATTGTTAGAATGAAGTTTGTTTGTACTACTACGAATAAGTGATTTCCCAATCAAATTTGAAAAATAAAATTAGAAGAAGGAAACTTATTTTAGGAAACAAATAATTTAAATGACTTCAGCATCTTATTTGTATCCAAAGATAGAGGATACTATGTTGTTGTTTGGTGCCATCGAGTCAGTTCCAACTCATTGCGACCCTGTGTACAACAGAACAAAACACTGCCCAGTGCTATGCCTTTCTCACAATTGTTGTTATGTTTGAGCCCACTGTTGCAGCCACTGTGTCAGTCCATCTCGTTGAGTGTCTTCCTCTTTTTCACTAATCCTCTACTTTACCAAGCATGATGTCCTTCTCCAGGGACCAGTCCCTCCCAATAACAGGTCCGAAGTATGTGAAATGAAGTCTCGCCATCCTCGCTTCTAAGGAGCACTCTGGCCATATTTCTTCCAAGACAGAGTTGTTCGTTCTTCCGGCAGTCCACAGTATATTTCAATATTCTCCACCAACACCATAATTCAAAGACATCAATCCTTGTTTGGTCTTCCTTATTCATTGTCCAACTTTCGCATGCATGTGAGGCAACTGAAAATACTATGGCTTGGGTCAGGTGCACCTTAGTCCTCAGAGGACAACAACATAGTATCCTCTATCTTTGGATACAAATAAGATGCTGAAGTCATTTAAATTATTTGTTTCCTAAAATAAGCATTAGGCTGTTGGCTAAGATGTCAGCAGTTCGAATCCACCACCCACAACTTGGAAACCCTATGGGGCAGTTCTACTCATCCTATAGGGTCGCTATGAGTCGGAATCAACTCAACAGCAATGGGTTTTTGAAGAGTTGCCCAATGCAATGTGTGGTTTGATTTCCTGACCGCTGCTTCCATGGGCATTGATTGTGGTTCCAAGTAAAATGAAATTCTTGACAAACGTCAATCTTTTCTCCATGTATCATGATGTTGCTTCCTGGTCCAGCTGTGAGGATTTTTGTTTTCTTTATGTTGAGGTGTAATCAATACTGAAGACTGTAATCTTTGATTTTCATCAGTAAGTGCTTCAAGTCCTCTGCTTCCAGCAAGCAAGGTTGTGCCATCTGCATATCACAGGTTGTTAATGAGTCTTCCACCAATTCTGAAGCCACGTTCTTCTTCATATAGTCTAGCTTCTTGGATATTTGCTCAGCATACAGATTGAGTAAGTATGGTGAAAGGATGCAACCTGATCCACACCATTCTTGATTTTAAACTACGCAGTATCCCCTTGCTCTGTTTGAACAAATGCCTCTTGGTCTATACTATACTTGATACTCTATTTGATACTATACTTGATACTATAAGCCATCATAATTTACTGTGGAACACAAATAACCCAAATTTCTACTTGGATATGTGTTGTTAGAAAATACTCAATGAACAATTCAACTATTGTGTATTGATATTCTATAAATGACTCCGTTTTACACTGGCTTCACCCTTCTATCAAAAAGTAAGCAAATTAATTTTTCAGGTTATTGGAGGTGGGCTGTGGCAAGAAGATTGGGAAGGGAGACAGATGATGAGAATTCTTGACTGAGACATAGTCCCGTCTCAACATTTTCCTTTTACCTTCCTGAGATAAGGGGACCGTGGAGCTTCCTCTGCCTTGCCGACACTGCTTTCTGGAACGTCACTGCCCTCTCTGTCTGCTCTTTTCCTCCTAGGGCTGCTGCGGTTTTCCAATGCAGAGGTCTTTGTGGGAGACTCAGTAGGATGGAGCCTTTTGGGTGCTACTTTTCTCAAGATGCACTCTGGGGCCTTGTTGGTCACATTTTTACCAGCCTCTGAATTTGACAGGATCAGGTCTGACCTGAAGGATTAACAGGGATTAAGTGAATGAACTGTTGTCTTTGAAATATATGTTTAACAAATGGATCGGTGTGAGATGACAGGGATGGCACTGGTTTGGAGGAGGTACTGAAACAACACGGAACAAACTGTTGAAAGCTAAGATTCATGTATGTGATCATTTAAAAATTCTCTCAACCGATTCCAAATTTTTCAGTAAAGCAACTCAATGTGCATGGACATAACTTGTGATATTGTAATGGGGCCAAGTTAGAAAAACAGTTAAATAAATTACGATACACCTATATGATAAAATGTGCAGTCATCAAAAATCATGTTCACAAGCATAATCAGTGATATTGGGACATGCTCACAATACAATATTTTGTGGGGAAAAAAACAGGATAAAAAACTACATATGCTGTTGCAGCATTATTCACAACAGGCAAAAGGGTGAAACAACCCAAGTGCCCATCAACAGACGAATGGATAAACAAAATGTGGTCTATCCATACAAATGAATATTATTCAGCCATCATTAAGAGTGTTGAGCCTAAAAAACATATTTAAAAAAAAAGTACATATGCTATATGATCTCAATTTTCTTTTAAAATATAAATAAAAGTCTGAAAGAAAATACAGTGAACCAAAATATTAATAGTGGTTACCTGTGGGTGGTACAATTATGGATAATTTTTATTTTCTTCTTTTCTGTATTTTCCAAATTTCCCACAGTAATAACTGTATTACTTTTACCATGAAGCCCCCCCCCGCAAAAAAAAGTTAACAAACATATAAAACGAAAGACAAATGACAACTGTCCCTATGTCTGGGAAAGAGTGTAAGGTAGTGAATTACTGACTTTCCCGTCAACCTTCACACCTGTGTCCCTTTTAAAAAACAGTAACTGCAGTTTGGAAATGTTAAATTATGGTCTGAAGAGAAAAGGCAAGATTGGTGACAGTTCTATGCTAGTTAGAGCGTACTAGAGCTTTTCCTGATTCAGTGAAATTTCTCATCTTCTAATGTTCCATTCCTTAATTGTTTCCTAAATGAATGCCACTGAATTATTTCAGAGTAAGACTGTTCAATGGATTTTCTCCAACCATTCAGGAAGTTAAAACATGGCCTTACCTTTTTAGTTTTTGTGAAAGACACAGCGATTGTGGCGAAGATGTCCTACTTGGTACATTGACTAATGTAGCCAAAATGAAGTTGGCTTCCAATAATATATCATCAATACTTAAAGCCATAGGTCTACGGATGCAAAGTCAGAGCAAAAATGACACTCATTTTCTGACAGACATCAGGGAAATGTTAGAAAATGACATTCAATTCTAGAGTGGAAAAAAAAAAAAGAAGTCCTGTGTCTTTTCACAAATTAACACAGTACTAAGAGATGGAAGAACCCTTAGAAATCCTCAGATCCAATTTCATAAAACACATTTTAACCCAATCTCATCTGAAATTAGTTCTGAAGTATCATATAAAATACTGTAGTCTCATAGAGATCTAACTTGTTTAAGCCCCATGTAATTTTCTAATTAGAGAATGTATTCAGCATCATGTCAGATTAAAAATGTCTTCACTCTGAAGAATGTATCTTTCTCAATCAAGTTACCAATTCAACAAACACCATGTTATAAATTTAGCATCTTTTAAATTTTTAGTTCGATAAGTGTTGCTAGTAAAGTTACAGAATCTCTGAGGTGTGAACTATTTTTGAAACAGTCCGAACAGTTTTATCATAAATATATAACAAAAGAAAAGAAACAAATTCAGAAAAGTTTCCAAGGACCTACTTTCCAGGAAAATCAAAGTAAATGGATATAGGAGCATGTATAGCTTCTGAAAATGTCAGCATTCCCTGAGAGAAGAAAACAAGAAAAATACCTGAAATCTTTATAAGCTACCAGTGAAAATCTGAAATTTTAGTTTGACGCAAATATTTGTGTTTACCTTCAGTTCTTTGAAGCAAAATGTTACCTCAGTGTCAACTCCAATTTGAAAGAAGTCAAACTCATCTGGGCCAACAAACATCTCACTGTACACAGAATTAGTCAAATCTGTTCATTATTATGGAAAGATAAAGAATAAACAAAATTAGTTCCATAAGTATTTGTTACATTTTAATACTAAAGTATAACTCTAAGTGGTAGATTAAAAATAGCCACAAATTCTTTGACATTCCTTCACTAAGCGAATCTGGGTGGGCTCTTTGACTGCTTTGACCAATAAGATACCAAGGTCAAGATAAGTGACCTTGAGCCAGTTTCTGGGCCCAGGCCTGAAGGGACTGGCAGCCTCCACTTCCTGTCTCTTGAAACACTCATTCTTGGAACTCAGCCACCATGCTGTATGAAGCCCAAATTAAATGGAGATGCCACATACGTGTGGGCCCTCGGGTTGGCAGCCCAGCTGAGCTCCAGCCAATAGCCAGCATCAACTACCAGCCATATCAGTGACCCATGTTGGGTGTCTTCAGATTCCAGCCCCAAACACTATCTAACTTCAACTGCATGAGAGACCCCAAGTAAGCATTGCCCAGCTGAGCCCCATCAACCCACAGAACCACAAGGTATATGAGTTATTGTTTTAAGCCACTATGTTTTGGAGTAGTTTGTTACAAAGCAACAACCAGAATACCATAAAAACTAATTGAGTCTGAAGAGAAATAATTTAAATTTACATATAACATTATATTTCATTTTTTCTTTATATCCCGTCTTGGTTTAAAAAGTATTAACAAAAGGGGGATAACAGATAATATAGATGTACCATATTTAATTAAAAGTGGCTTTTTAAGTGAATTTTAAACTCTTTTTTACTGAGATATAATTCATACCATAAAATTCATTTTTAAGCTTCTTTTAAAATTGAAATGAAATTTACATAATATGAAATCCACCATTTTCACCATTTTGAAGTGTACAACCTGTGGTTTTTTAGTATATTCAAAATGGTGTGCAACCATCATCACTATCTAATTCCAGAACAGTTTCATCACCTCGGAAAGAAACCCCAAATCCATTAGCAGTCACTCCCCATTCCCCCCATGCCCAGCCCCTGGTCACCACTAATCTACTTTTTCTCTCTCTGGATTTGCTGTTGTAGACATTTCATATAAATGGAATCATCTAATATGTTGCCTTTTCTGTCTGGCTTCTTTCACTTAGCATGTTTCCAAGGTTCATACATGTTGTAATATGTGTCAGTATTCCTTTTTATTGATGAATAATATTCTACTGTATAGATATACCATACTTTTTTTATCCATTAATCAGTTGATGGACATTCTGGTTGTTTCTACTTTGTGGCTTTTATGAATAATGCTGCTATGAACATTCACATACAAGTTTCTTTGTGAAAATGTTTTCATTTCTCTTGGGTATATACCTAGGTGTGGAATTGCTGGGTCATATGGTAACTCCTATGTTTAACATTTTGAGAAACTGCCACAATGTTTTCCATTGAGGCTGCTTCATTTTACATTCCCACTAGCAATGTACGAGGTAACCATATATTGAGATAGAAACTATCATTCAATATCTTTAATAAAACCTTGTTACACAAGGATATCAAATGATAATTATATCTACAGCCCATTGCCATCAAGTCGATTCCGACTCATAGTGACCCTAATTATATCTATACACAGGGCCTATTTCTTGAGTCCCCAGGTGGCACAAATGGTTAAGTGCTTGGCTGCTAACTGAAAGGTTGGTGGTTCAAGTCCACCCAGAGGCACCTCAGAAGAAAGGCCTGGCGATCTACTTTTGGAAAAAATCAGCCATTGAAAACCCTATGGAGCACAATTCCACTCTGACACACATGGGGTCGCCATAAGTCAGAATCGACTTGACTGCAACTGGTACCGGCACATGGGGCCTATTTTGGAAATCAAACTTTATTTTCAAACCTGTCAGCTAAGCAAGCTTTTGTTTTAAGAGCCCCATTCTCACATCTGCGTCTAGCCAATAGTGGCCATCAATATTTCCTTGCAGCCATGTATATAGCCAACTGCCCCTGAGTGGACTCAGACCACCTCTGGAGAGTGGGATTTCGGGTGACTTTGTAAATTAGTTGTTTGTTTGTTTTGTATTTTTAATTTTGTTCATTGACCATGAATTACATAAGTAGAAAGAATAAAAGTTAAATGTTACATATTCTTTTTAAAAGGACCAAACAATACCTTAAAATTACACTCATCTTAAACAAGTAGGTTCATGTCACTCCCAGTGCGCTAGCATAGATTAAGGTCAATGATAAAATTAAACCATTGGGTCCCCAGCCAACCATAACCGTAACTACTCGTTAGAAAGCTGCTCACTAGGGACAGTGTCTCCTGGTTACTAACTGGCCATCTTTATTCAGTGATGGCATTATGGAAAAGAAAACAGACCCTTTCACTAGCTAGGCATATATTTTCCAGACCAAGCACTCCTAAATGCCAAAAAAGAAAGCTAGATGAGATCTGAGAGAAGCAGTAACAACACAGTGGTCAGGAGCCACACCATCTGTATTCAGATCATAGCCCACCACTTCCTAACTGCGTGCCATTAGGCAAGTCACTTAGTTTCCCAATTCTTCAATTTCTCCATACATGGGACTGGGATTAGAGCACGTAGCTCAGGGAGTTGTTATGAAGAGCCAGTGGATTAGAAAATGTAACTACTTAGAACAGTATCTGGCACATCCTAAGCACTGCAAAAGCCATCTGACCCAACTTAAGCCCTGGTTTTACTGGTTTCTCGTTCTAAAATAATACAGTTCCTTCCTCTGTATTCTTCCTTTACTACTATCACTAAAAAGAACAAAAAAATTAGCTAAGCTGAAAGAGTCGCCAAGAGCTGCTTGTGCCAAAAAGACCCTGGCAAATATTCTTAATCCCCAAATTCCTGCCTTAGTTTTTCCATTCCATCTAGATAACTCTTGGGAGAGTTGATTTAAGGAGCATTCCTATTTTCTGCCATATCTGTTGGCCACTGGGAATAATTTTTACATTTCTAATTCAAAGTTACTTTTCCTTAAGTGGTCAAAAATCATATCAACTGGATTGCTAGCCTCTTAATTTTTTTTTTTTTTTTAATGCTAAACACCAAACCAAAAAAAAAAACCAATCAAACCCATTGCCGTCAAGGCATTCTGACTCATAGCAACCCTACGGGACAGAGTAGAACTGCTAAGGTTTCCAAGGACTGGCTGGTGGATTCGAATGGCCAACCTTTTGGCTGGCAGCCAAGCACTTAACCACTGCGCCACCAGGGCTCCATGCTAAACACAAAGGACGGCAAAAGATGAGAAACAGACCCTATAAACTCTTAACTGAAAATATATTTTCCTCAGTAACCATTCTAACTTTGAAACGATCTGAATTTCAAAGCCAAGTATTTTAATTGCTGATGTGTGACATTTCCCACATCTCTTAAATTTTTTTTAATTATCTTTTTTAAATCTCACTGCTTTGTAGACAGTAATAAATATCATGCCACTTAATATTTACTGTATGGTTAGTAATCAAGAATGTCAAGAAGTAATAAGCCATCAAAGCACCATGACAGATATAATCCTTACCCATTGATTCCTCATTAGAACTCTTGAGGCAAACATTCAGTGGAGTCACAGCAAGAGTGACTTCCTCTTGACTTGATGTAAAAAGAACAATTGCCTCGGCGAGCACTCTAGAAAATGTAACAAGAAGTATGAACTTTATTTGAAAAGCATACGGAAAGGAAGAGCCCTGTTAACTGGGACTCAAATCTTTAACTTGGAAATAAACAGATTAGTTGGCCTGAGTTTAGAAAAAATTGCCTATCCTCTTTCTAATACATGAACCATTATATTTTTAGTATATTTGTAAACTGCAATTTCATTTGAAGGCCAAGGGAAAAGTAAAATAAGTGCTCTTGTTAGATGAAAGACACGGGAAGGCTGCAGTTATCACCAAAACAGCAGAATATAATGTCTGTGTTTTGGTATGCCAGATATATTCTGAAAAAATTGGCCTGGAACCGCACTCCAGAGGAAGACAGCAGAAAACAGAGCTGTTCAAATGAAACTGGGGTGAACTATACTGGAGACCCAGTTTAGGGGGTGGAGGTTTGTCAGCAGTCTGCTGCCTATATTCTCTTTTCCTTCGTTACTTG